TCTCTCTCTCTCTCTCTCTCTCTCGTCGTCGTCGTCGTGTTCTTTGCAGGTGCGCACAATGTCTTCACTTGGCGGATTTCTACTCCTATGGCGCCTTCAGCTATGGAGCGCGAATCTCCTTGCGGCACACGACGGTCGCGCGTGGAATAGCGGGTACCAGTCCGATACCAATGCAATCAGACTCGCTAACTTTCACACTTCATATGCATGTAAACAGGTTGCGCAGCAAACTGGCGACAAGCGCCCACTCAGAACTTAGAGATATAGTAACCAAGAACGCAGTTCAGATACAAGTTCATTACAAATGGCTATGGCGGCACAGCGCCTGTACAACTCTCTGTTCACACACACAGGATCACCCTGGATATCCCACACGCGTCACACTGTACACACACGCACACACACACACACTGCACTCCGCTATCAGCTATGGCGGCTATGGCCGCTACCACTCCTATCGCTATGGCTAACTCTCCTTCTCGCCCACTTCGTCTTCGGGCTCACTGCAGACCACCTTGCACAAGTCGCTATGGTAGCGCTTCCGCATGGCTTACGCAGGAATGAATGAATGGCTGGGCGCTGCCTCTTGATTTATACTTTTGTAGCTCGTTGGTCTGCCCCTTTCCCATGCCCGTGGTGCACACAGTCCCATAGGGTACTTGCTTGACTGGACTAGGACTGACTGGGACCGGTACCGCTGACTGCATGGGTTTACACTGCCAACTCGATGCAGTCGCACCGCCGACATACCGCAGTTGGCTCACCACTTGCCCATTTGCCTTTGTCTAAACGTGAGCAACTTTGAAAGGCCAGTACTGGGACCTTCCGGAAGGTTGGAGACTTGGCCTTTCGAACCCTGTAGCAGCTACGACCTTGACCTTTCAGGACTGTAGCAGCTACGACCTCTAGACTCCCTAAGACCTCTATCCGACAGGTCTACAATTCGAACCCCTGCAACCTACGGACCCTATGACAGTCTACCAACTGTTACGAATACAGAGGTCACGGGTTCAACTACCGGGTCGACACAGATACTGTACACAGGGAAGGTGAGGACTAGGGATCGAGCCCTGGGATCTGCATCCGCTACTGCTAACAGGTGAATACCGTTTCAGTTTTTGATCGTTTTTTTCTTTCTTTTTTTCCCACCCCAGCCTCACACCAAACCCGCCCCCCAAGACACATCAGGGCCCCTGCGCGAACGCATCAAAAGCGTTCACCACCGTTCAGTGAGCGCGTATTCAATGCGTTCAAAAGCTGAACACGACACGCGCGTTCAAGGAACGTGCGGCTACACAGATACACAATTCCACAAAAAAAAGCATGACTGTGCCAGACTGTTTCGTCGGACTTTCACTGACTCGTCAGGAGGTCTGCCCAGGATGCATTTGACTGGTGGAGAATAATTCACCACGTTGCTCAGAGTTAGTGATACCCGTGAGAATAAGTGGTTGACTTTAATCACACCAGCCCTGCAATCCTAGCAGATTGTTTGGTCCATATTCCTGAGGGCCCTGACAAGAATGGCAGTAAGTCCGAGAAACTAATGCGGCACAGCCATATAAAACCTACTCTACACATCAACTCAGCCATGGATACCCACTGGCGTGACTGCTAGTACCGTCCCACCCTGAGCTGCATCAATCCCACTGAAAGGAGTATGTTGTATAACTATCATCACCACAACAGTCAGAGACGACCACACACCCTCACAATAACTGTATCTGACCTTAAAACTTTAAAAGTACATTCTGCGATTCATGAAAAATCCCTTTTATCAACAAGCGACAACAAAAAAGAACTGTCAGAACAATCTGTTTCCTATTATCATCAAAAAGAAAAACAGAATACGACTGTCAGAAGTCTAAGAACCGTCCATTTTCACCAGCACAACGCACTCTCCTCATGACTGCATCGGGTCTGAAAGATGGTTGAATGCATTGGATGGACACAGAATGGAATTGCCTATACAATTGCATTCGGCGTGCCTATGTGTTCCTCGCAATAGGGAGGCATGTAGCCCTTGGCATCTGTCTGCGCTGCGCCATTTGGTGCCAGCAACTCCGACTGCGAGAACTGGATGTGCCTAGTCTTGTGCATGAGAGGCACGGTGAAAGGGGAGCTGCAAGAAGTAAAAGAGAAAACCCAGAAAAGGCCGAAGTAAGGAAAGCGGAGAAAGGACTGCACAAGTAAACGGCAAGATAATGGTTTTTGTGTGCTCATGTTGTTCGCTGTCGAGGAAAATCTGTTTCAATTTTCAATCTACTCCCTTGGTGGAAAAGGGTCTATACTATTAAATAGACTCTATAATTAATATGAATAATTAATATAAATAATTAATATGAATAATATATTATTGTAATCTTATTATATAGCTAATAG